ATTACATCTTACATTATTTTTTTGTATCATGTTCCTGACGATGCCCTATACAGGGCGAAACGTAGAACCTGTGTTAAATCTGAAAAATCTACCTAGTCCCAACCCCTTTTTTATTCCCTGCTACTTACAGTGATGATGGTGATGGATTATGGATTGCATTTATATAGCGCATATCCACTTATGCAATGCTCTATGCGCTTAACATGAAACATATTAAGGAATTACACATCTATTTTATAGACACATAGTATTACATACGTGTGCACACACACACACCTACTCACGCAAGCACGCACCACACACACACACGCAAACACACACACACACACACACACACACACACACAAACACACACATACACACACATACACACATACACACATACACACATACGTGCATACGCACATACAAACTCACGACGTTCTACAGCTCGGATGTATTCTGTCTAATCGAAATATGATGAATATAGAAATGCTTTTAGTTTTTTCTTTAAAAGTTCTACATTTTCTGCTTCTCTGATAAGTTTTGGGAAGCCTATTCCAAACAAGTGGGGCAAAATATGAAAAAGAGCGTCGGCCATATGATTTGTAATTTATTTTAGGTATAACTAGAGTTGTTCTACCACTTGATGATCTGAGCGTTCTAGGAGGCACATAGGGTGTTAAAAACTGTTTTAGGTAGTTAAGTGATAGATCATGTAAGCACTTGTAGCAAGTTAAACAGATTTTATATATAACTAGCAGGGTCCTATATTTACACTTTACTGGAATGGGGAAATAAATCTTGAGAGATGCAAAAATTAGAAGGTCTAGATCTATACTCTCAAAACAAAATGTGCCTCGCGAAATATCACTTCCGGATTTTCTAAAATTACAGAGAAAAGCGTCAGCCTACAAAAGCGATCAGCGAAATAAAGAAATTAAGCTTTTGCAGCAAAACTGTCTCAAAACTGAAAAAACCAAGGGCGTCATGATCTGGAGAATATTTTAAAGAATTTTTTGGCGAAAACCGAATGTCGATCGATGCAGCCAATAAAAAGCGTTTTGAATAGCAAAATTCGGCCACCACAAATAGATAATAGATATATCATATGATACGCTCTTTCACCAGGAACCAGTGTAGTTCTTTTAAAATAGGAAGTGACGTCATCATCTGCTGTGTTTCCACGGCTGAGCACAAGAAGTGAGTATATTTTCCCCTTTTCAAAATTTCGAGAAAAACGAGTTTGAAATATGTGTCATATCGGTGGAATCGGGCGCTCGTCAATTTTGGGGCTTGTGTTGAAATCATCTTAAAACTTGTTCAGTTGTCTCGCTATCGATAAAAAAAACCCCACCAATCTATT